GGCGGCAGGGTTCCGGAGCCTCGAAATCTGTGCATCTTTCCCATCCCTTTCCCGTTTTGCACGGGGCCGAATTTGCTCCGCGTCATCCCCGAGCAGGAGTCTCCCCAGGACCGAGGGGGGTGGAAAAGGGGCAGGGCTGTGAAATTAAATTCCGGTGCCCGGTTAATTGGTGTAATTTGACGCTAACTGTACACCGCGGGCCGGCGCTGGGAGCGGCGGTGCGAAGCGCGCCTCGCACGGCCCATTGAGCGCGCCCCGCCCCGCCGACGCGCAGGAGCCGCCGGGCCCCGCCAAGGGTGCCCGGTCCCCGCCGACCCCGGCTCGCTGGGGCCGTGGATGAGAAGCGAAGCCCCGCAGGAGCCGATGATTCGACTGCCCGCGGCGCCGGCGTTCCCCTGGGATCCAATGGCTGCGGGTGCCAGCTCTTGCCTCCCTCTTCCCACCTGCCTGGAGACAGGGCAGGAACTCCCTTCTGTAGTGTCCTTGTATCCAAGCCCTCATGGTGAGGCAAGGGGGTTTGATCCCCTTCCTGCTGCTGGAGACTGGGGTCAGCCCGGGACCCAACCCAAGATAGCCTCACTGGTGGGTGGCAATGCACCCCGACCTCCAGGAAGCCTCAAACTGTCCCATACCTGGGACACGATGCCCCATTCACCTGTCTCGGAAATGTGAAAGGGCTCGCTGTGCAACTGCGGAGTGGAAGTTGTTTGCATCCCTCCCCCAAATCCTGTAGCTGGAGTACTGCTTGTCCCCACGCCCCCAGTGTCCTGCCCCTAGACATGAGGCAGAGTCCGTGCTTCCTCACGTTTTCGGGGTGTGAAATCAGGGCTGCGCGACACACTGGCCAGCTTCCAGGGCACTTCGGCACTTGAATCCCCGAGGGAAAAAAAAAAACAAACCCAAAACAAAAAAAAAAACCTACAAAACGTGGGCGGGGACAAGGGGTACGGACATGGAGAGGCCCAAGGGCCACAGGCTGTCGCAGGCCAGCTTCCCCCGGGAACGCAGCGTCCCTCGGCACACGCCGCTCCCGCGCAGCCCAGCGGGACAGACCCCGGCCCGCCTGCTGCGCCCGCTACCCGCCCCCTCCTGGCCCCGCACCAGGGGCTGGAAAGACTGTCTGCACTGGGGGGGATGTCTTTGTTTCCCCTTGAACTCCCCAGGCGATTTGCAGTGCTTCCGTCACCCATTTGGGCTAGTTCAGCCATCCCGGTTGAACTGGGCTACTGATGTTGTTATTGTTGTTATTATTATTATTATTGTTATTATTGTTGTTGTTATTACTAGTACTACTACTACTAGGTCCATGTATTCCTTGACAACTTGCCCCCGCGATAACCTTCCACCGGCCCCCCGGGGGAAGGTGAAGCCTGGGGGGCTCTCCCGCCTCCCCCCGGCCGCGGGCGGGCACCCGGGCGGACAGCGCTGCCCTCTGCCCGCGGCCGGGGAGCACCGGGACGCTCACCCGGCTGGGGCAGCGCCGGGACGCCGCACCGTGCCGAAGCGGGCAGGGGTCCGGCGGCTGCAGGACGCCCGGGGCACGCTCGGAGCCCCCCGGGGGCAGCGCGGCCGGTGTCCCGGGAGCGGCGGGGCCGGGCGGGCGCGGTGGGAGCGCGGTGGCGGGGGGCAGCGCGCAGGCAGCGCGGAGGCAGCGCGCAGGCGCGGGCAGGGAGCACCCAGCTCTTTATGGCCAGGTGAGAGAGTCCCGGCTCAGGTAAGGGGAGGATTTACCCACAGGCGTCCCAGGCGAGTGGCTTGCCCTCGCAGTCCATGACCATCAGGGACCCGGGGACTCGGAGCCCGCAGCCAGGATGTCTATCCTTGCCAAGATGGGGGACTGGCAGGTAAGGTGACCCTCTGCCCTGGGGGGGTTTATTGTTACTTTGGGACGGGAGGCAGGGCTGGAGCGAGAAGGGTGACGGGCCCGGAGGGAGCTGGGGGCGAGCCTGACGCTGGGGTTGGGTGTTTTGCGGCCCTCGGTGCTGGAGCCGCCCGCGGCCACTCGTGAGGCCCGACTGCAACAGGTAGAGAGCGGCGGACTGGGCTCGACAGGGGCCAGGGCTGCTCCGCCGCCGCCGCCGCGGGTGACACGACCCCGGCAGCGTGGGCCGGCGAGGGCGGCGTGTGCCCGCCCGGCGTCCCTGTGCCCGGGGCCAGCGGCGGCCGGCCCTCCGCGGAGCCCCGGGGCTGCCCACGGGACGCGGCGGGACCCACGCGGGGCAGGGCCCGCAGCCGCGGCGTGACCCGGAGCGCATCGGGGACTGCCGCGGGAGCTGAGACCTCTCTACGAGCTCCCACCTCTGCCTGTCCCATGGAAAAATAACGCTGCCGGGTCCCACCCGGTAGTAGATGCGCCGGGGGCGCCCCTGGAAAGCACTCCCGCGGGATGAGCTGAAGGGAAAAGCAGAGCCCACCGGCGAAAGAGGCCAGGCGGGGAACACGCGGCCCGCCGGCGCCTCGGCCGGCCCCACGGACCCGAGGGGATCCGCACGCACCACGGCCCGGGCTACACGTGTGGAGTTAGGGAGGATCACGAACCGGGAGGCTCTTGAAAAACCCTGGAGCTCCCTGATGCCCGTCCGCTCGGGCCGGATGACCGCAGTTTGCCGACTAATGAAAGGGAAGATGCACCGTCCTGTTCAAGCACACGGGATTTTCTTAGAGAAAATGACCTTTTAAGAATTTATTTTTTTCCCAGAACAGTCCAGCTCCAGATGGGAGCCTGGTTTCCTTTTCTGCTCCCAACTTTTAGAATCTCTCGACTAAGTCTTTCCTTAGACTACTTTATTTTTTTATATCTTTGGGGTAGCAGCATGTCGTCTAAAAAAAAAAAAAAAAGGGTGAGGGAACAAAATAAGTAAACACGTTATTTAAATTATTATTAGATCGGCTAACATCTTTTTATCAGACCTGTGCAAAAAGCGATCAAAAGAAGATTTTTCTTCTCTTTCACTGAAATCAATTCTTGCGCAATCGTATTTACGGGTTATCTGCCTTGAAATCTATTCCCGACTTTTCCTTACACCCCGGCCTTCCTTGCTCCTTCTCCCCGGCGCTGCGGGGCCCCCCTCGCCCCGCCTGGCCGGAGGGGCCGGGCCGCGGGAATCGCCTCCCGCTGCCCCGTGCGGATCTCTCGGGGAAAGCCGCCCCCTCCCGCGCAGCCCTGCGCTCCAGCGGCCCGGGAGAGAAGGCAAAAGGGTCAGGCCTTTGGCCCACGGGAGTCCCGAGCAGCCGCAGCTGGGCGGCTGTCCCGGGTGGGAGGCTTTCCCGGCCGCCCCGGTTCAGACAGGACGGCGCTAAGGGGCGATGGGCCCCTTCGCCAACCCCCTTCCCTCCTCTTTTTCTCATCTCCAGCACCCCCCCGGGGCATTAACTAGGCTTAATCTGCCAGCTCCATTTGAACCTCAATGGGAGTAAAAACAACAATTTACTCTCCTGCCAGTGGTAGACAAAAGCGCTGGTGAAAAAGAGCATCGGGGGTGGGAGTATGGTGGAGGAGGGGGGAAGGGGAAAGAAAAAAAAAATCCGTTTAGGGGACATGGATATTTGTGTGTGTGAAGGGGCAGTCCCGGGAGCCCGGAGGCTTTGCCACCCTTCCCGGCGGGGCGACACGTGGGCCGGGCCCCCGAGGGCCCACTGCGGCTCCCCATCGGAGCGCAGGGGCCATTTGCTCCTGGAGGCAGTAAATTTTCCTCCGACGTGGAGGGCGGGGGGGAGGGTGGCCCCGGGAGGGTCTTCCAGGCCGACGAGGCAGGTTTTGCCGTCGGCGAAAGGAAGTTTCGGTGAGCAGCAGGGCAGCCAGGTGCACAGGCAGCCGTGGGGATGCCCGGCTCCTGGGGACGCCTGGGCACACGGCTGGCGTGGCGAGCTGCGCCAGGCCCGACACGCCAGCCCCGCGGAGAGGGAATGCCTTGCCCTTCGGTGAAGCGAGGGATCACCCAGAAATGAGGAAAAGAAAAAAAAAAAGAAGAAAAACGGGAAAAACGAAGCTTTGCGGTGGATGTATCAAGGCTGGGCACCCGGGGAAATAAAAGAGGAGAAGGGTGGAGAAGCAAGCCCCCCAGGAGGGCAGCCTGAGCGCTCCCTTAGCGGCACATTGTTAAGCAAACGAAGCGCCCCACCTAAGAAAGTACCAAAGTTTTATTGTGGTCATTGTTTTGTCCTTTTGCTCAAGTGCTTGCAAAAGACTTTGGCTCCTGCTACAGTCAATTTACCGCTCGCCCACTTCTATTTGGGAGATAATGTTGGATTTGTTTGGGGTGGTGTTTTTTTTTTGAAGACCAATAGCTAACAGAGCCGAGAAGAAAAAAAAAAAGAAAGAAAAAAAAAGCAGTTTGGAAGCAAAGAAGCTTTTAAAATATCCACACACACAAAAAAAAAGACATAATCCAGAGGGCAATAGAAGCCTCCGCAGACAATAACCTCTTTCGAGCAGGACACGAGTCTCGTTTCTCCTCGCTTTGCTTCCTTTAACCTCAGTGGAAAAAAAAAAGGAAAAAAAGTGGGTAGGGGGAGAGATAAATCCCATGGGGTGGCTTCATGGCTAGCCCCGAACTTTCTGCGGATCGGACGGGAGCCTCTTTGATTTCACTGGCCACTTTCCTCCCCGCTGGCAGGCAGAGGCACGGGGGCCAGCAGCGGCCCGCAGGCAAACAGGCAGGGCCCGCTGCCCCCCCGCGCCGGGGCTCGGCAAGTCGAAGAAATCTTTTTTTGTCGTTAATTTTTTTTTTCCTTGCTCGTGGGTTCCTTCTACCTGTGTCCATCGCTGCAGGTTGTTGTGCTGGCGAGCAATTGGGCTGTTGTTGATATGCTAATGAGGCGATTAGACTGTGGGTAAAGAGCTGGAAAAGGGAAAAGTTTCCACCATTAGAGGGAGATCTCCGAGCGCGGACGGGAGCGCTGCCGAGCCTCCGCCAGCCGCGCTCCCCACGCCGCCCGGCACCGCCACCGTAGGGAGAGGCAAGGCAGGGAGAACCAAATCCTCTCTCGCGCGCCAATCCATGAAAATGCTTTGGAAACTGACGGATAATATCAAGTATGAGGAATGTGAGGTAAGCGCTTCCCCCGGGCCCGGGCAGAGCCCCGGCCCCACAGCTACAAGCGGGAGCCTTCAGCATCCCTCCGTCTCTCAATTTCGTTTAGGAAAACTTCAGCTCCGTCGTCAGGCTTCCTTGCGGTCCTGCAGCCGGAGAGGGGCTGGGGTCCTTCCCCAGGAACTTCGGGGCTTGTGGAAACACGGCTTTGTCGGAAGTGTATGAGGAAAGGCAAACAGGATCCAGAAGCAGCCTGGTCTATAGGTAGATCTTCCGTAGATAAGGCTCTTGTAGGATGCTACACTCATCCATATGGATGGATGGATGGATAGATGGATGGATAGGCGGCTGGCTGAATGAATGGACCGATGAATGAATGAGAGGGCCAAGAGACAAAGGGAAGAGAATTATTCTTGCACCCTAGGTACCCTAGGCATCCAAATAAATTGGCTCAGGACCGACGCTTAAAAGCAGCCTTTTCGATATAACTGCGGGTTCATTATACCGAGCTGCACAAATTTACAGGGGTCAGCTGCCTAAATGAAATCACGGGTTTTGGGAGCAGTGTTCCCCCAGCCTCCTAATTTTCAGGGCCACATTCCCACGGGTTTGAAACATAGTAATTTAACCGCTTGGGAAAAAATAAATAAAATCCACCTCATTCGGTTTTGGAGCCGTTCAGCACAGATTGTGTGCGTGCATCTCTCTCTGTGCCTGTATGTGCATCCATATTTTTACAAAGAGGCGAGTGTCTTTTAATCTGACAAAAAGGAGAAGAAGGGGAAAAAGAAGAGCGATGCCCAGGACCCATGCCTAGTCTCAAACCAACGAATACTATTGTTACCCGTTTTGAAAAAGTTGCCTGTGCAGTGGGTTCAAACCGCGCAATAAAGGACTCTACTTTGCAAGTGAACGCTGTTATTTGGTCGTGACCCAAGCGGGAAGATCCCCTCAGCCTCGGCGGAGCCTTGCCGACATGCATCTCTGGGTCCAAGGGGGCACTCTCTCGTCCGACCCTGACGCTGGTTTGGGCGATGCTGTAGTTTAGGGAAGGGACCGAGGACTCGGCGGGCTCAGCGCCGACTGAGTGATTTGGTGATCTAGTCCCTGGTGGAGGAGTTTGGGATGAAGCTGTCTCCCAATGCGGGAGCTGAGCTTTAGATCCACTCGTTGGCCGGTGCTTGATTTGAATGAGGTGTCGGGTGTTGGTGTTTGTGGGTTGCGTAATGTTTGTTTAATTTTTTTTTTTTTAGTTGGCTGAGTTGGGTTTTTTTGGTGTTTTGGATTTTAAAATTTTTTTCAATCCAGAAAAAAAAAAAGACACATACTCCTCAGCTGCATTTCGGGTGGAAAGCGTGCCTCTTCCCCCTCCCTCCCCTCAGGACCGGTCTTACAGTTTGCACACGTGCGAGCGTGTGGATTTCATCGCAAATGGCTTTTGTTGCCTTGCGTTAATGGGACTTCGCACCGAGGTGTTACCAAACACGGAGGGAGCAGCAGCCGCTCCGCGAACCGGCCGGATTGTGTGCGTACGTGTGGGGCTGGCTCTCCGTGTTTACCTCGGGAGCGGGTGCGAGAGCACTTTTAAGAGATGAGGGAAAAGAAGGTGGCTGTACCCCGCCGGGGGTTGAACCTGCCTTAAAATAAAAAAGAGGATAAAAAAAAGGAAAAAAGAAACAAAAAAGAAGGAATGAAAGATTAAAAAAAAAAAAAAAAAAAAAAAAAAGAAAATCAAAGATAAGCCCAGAAAAAGCGCATAAAAGCCCGGCCAGCGGCGCTGAGAGCCCGGGGCGCCCGGAGCGCCGGGGGGTCGGGCCGGGCGGGCGGAGCGTGGGGCCGGGCGCCGGCGGCGCGGCGGCTGCGGCGGGGCAGCGGCGGCGGCGAGCGGAGCGGTGCCTGTTTTAAGGGAGTTGTTTGGGAGTTGCACAGCCAGTCCGACGGGTTGCGCCGGAGCCCCGGCTTGTCTGGGCCGGGAGAAGCGCTCGCCTTGCCTCTTTTCCCGGCTCCCGCTCCCCACCGCGTCCCTCCCGCCCTCCTTCCCTCCCCGCCTTGCTGCCTCCTGCCTTTTTCCTCCGTCTCTTCCCGGATCCTCCGAGAGGGGGGCCGCGGGGAGCCCGGCGGATGCTCCTTGGGCTCCCCAGCCCCCCCCGCCCCCGGCGCCCGCTGGTCTCTGCGCTGGGCTCCAACCGGAGGAAGAGGAGGAGGAGGAGGAGGAGGGCTGACACCCAGAGGGGGAGACACCCAAAAAAACTTTCCCAGCCGGTTTCCGGGACGTGGGGCACGGAGGCGAGCCTGCTCGGCGGCGCGGGGCGGCCGCCGCGGGGGCAGCGGCCAGGGGAGCCCCTCGGCGGGGCGCCGTCGAGGCATGGACGGGGCGGCGGCGGCGGGCGGTCCCGCGGAGCCCACCCCGCGCAAAGGCGGCGGCGGTGCGGCCGAGGGCAGCAAGAACCAAGCGGGAAGCGAGCAGCCGCTCTTCTCCCTGGGCTTTGAGGCCGGCTACGCGCAGCAGCCGCAGCCCGAGGTGCGCCCGCGAAGGACTGCGGGGCTGGGGACATGGGGAGGCGGCAGCCGGGGGGAAGGGAAGGGAAGCGAAGCGAAGGTGAGGAAGGATGAGGGGGGGGGATCCCGCGCCCCCTCCCCTCTCTCCTTCTGCCCGTCTCTCCCACTCCCTCCCCGCCCCCCCCCCCTTTTCTGCACCCCCCTCCTGGCTCCCACCCTCTCCCTCTCTCCGGATCTCTTTCTCTTTCACTTTTGCATGCCCTGCAACCTTTTAAAATGTTGCCCCTTTCCTGTGATTCGTCAGACGCAGCAGCATGTGCCCCCTCTCTCTCTCCCGCTCCCTCTCTCTCCCTTTTTGTCTCTCTCTCCCTCTCCCTCTCCCCCATCTCTGATTAGATACACTGATTCTTCATTCAATGGACGTCATTTAGAACAGGCTCTGCCTTGAGTTGCCTTCTCGCTTCACGCTCGATTTCCAGCCATTCTTCCCTTATTAAGTGTTCGTGTAATATTAATAGTCATGAATATCTGCTATTAGGAGTCTCCAGGAAGGCAGCAGATCTGTTATTAGGAGCTCAAGTGAAGCAGCAGCTAAGTCAAAGGAGAAAAAGAAAGAGTCAGAGGAAAAAAAAAGGATTAAGAAACAAACACACACACGCTAAAAAAAAAAAAAAAGGAAAAAAAAAGCGCCAAACAAACAACAAAAAAACCAACCAAAACAAAAACAAAAAAAAAAAAAAAGAAAAAGCAACCAACTTTGACTCCTCACACCGCGCCAGGATAGAGAGCTCGCCTTGGGATCACCCGATGAAGGGCAGCAGAGATCGGTGCAAGTTCTGATGGATTATCGTGGCGCGCCCGCGGTGCAGGAGCAGCCCCGGCGCCCCGGTCCTGCCGCCCGCGCCTAGCGCCGGGCTCCGGCCGCGCTCCCTCCGCGCCCGCGCCGCGCCCGCACCTGCGGGGCTCCGCCGGGGGCTGCGCGCTTCGCCGGTCCCTTTCCTCTGCCTTTTTGTTGTTTTTTCTGCCTTGACTTGTAACCCCCGACTCTTCGCAGATGTTAGTGCACAGTTTTTCGGCTATGGTGAGTTGCTTCACGTTTCTCTCGGAGGGGGTTCGGTGCGCGCTGGGTGTTGCTATTGTTGTCGGCGGTGGCAGTGGGGGTTTCACACCCAGCTTTCCGGAGAGGGCTTTTTTTCCTTTCCTTCAATTTTATAAATTCGGTGGTTTACGTTTTGCCCTTTCTCTCTTTATTTTTCTTTCCTTCCTCCCCCTCACCCCCCCCCCTTTTTTTTATTTTTCCTTTGGTCTGCTTCGAGCGAACGGCAAAAGGCTTTGCTTGGACCTTACGCTTCGATTCCTTAACCTTGCCACCTGCAAACGTAGTATTTTCGCTTACTCGTTCCTCTGTTTCGGGACCGTGGTTCTTTCCCTCGAATCCTCCTCCGTGGAGGCCATTCCTTTTACCTCAGACGTTCATGTGGGCTCCTCTGCCCGGTTTCCAGAGCCGGCAGAGCCGTGCCGAAGCGCCCGGGCTCATTTCGGTGCCGCTCGCCCGTCGGGGCGGCGGCGCTTCCCCCGGCGCCTGCCGCATTCCTCCGCTTCCCCGGCGGCCGGGCCGCGCTGCCCGCTCCGCTCCGCTCCCAAATCGCGCCCCGGCCAGCCCGGGCTTCGGCCGGGCACACGGGGTTCGTCTCTCCTTGGGTGGGGGGACCATGGCAGTGCTTTCGCCCCGAAACATTTGTAAAACTCTAAGGGGGAACTACCGGTTTGTTTGGAGGCTATTTCGGCGTTTTCTGGTAACAAAATGGCAGTGGGTTTGGATTTTCCAGGGTTTTCTTGGGACGCGATCGGTAATGTCAGCGACAGTATTTATTTCGGTTCTGTTAAGGGCCAGAGGAAGGATTTTGTGTTGTGGCAGAATTATTATTTCAATAATGCTCGCTTGTGAATCATTCTTTTTATTTGTGGGAAATACCTGCTCCTGAAATGCCGGGGCACGATCTGATGTGAATCCACGCTGTATCGCCGCAATGTTTTATTAATTACTATAAGCTGTCCCGTTGTAATTATTGCTATTATTGCTGTTATCGTTATTGCCGTTATTATTGGTTTTTTAAAAAGCGAGACTGCCTCTTAATTATTTGGGAAGGGAAATCAGAGGCAGAGAGATCTCCAGATCTGCTTTTCTCCGCCTCGGAGACGATTATTTGCCCCTCATTGCCCTATAGATGAAATTTTTAAGGCGATTTTGAGGAAAATCAGTTTGATATTATTATTGTTTTTCTTTTCTCCTTTCCCCTCCCCCTCCTCCCCCTCCTCTGCACCCTCCACCCCCCAACCCTCCCCCCCCCCCCCCCCCCCCGGCTCCCGCTCCCCATCTCAGGAGCGCCACGACAGTACCAGCAACGGGACAGCCCGGTTACCCCAGCTGGGGACCGTGGGTCAGTCTCCCTACACCAGCGCCCCACCGCTCTCGCACACCCCCAACGCCGACTTCCAGCCCCCCTACTTCCCCCCCCCTTACCAGCCCATCTACCCCCAGTCTCAGGACCCCTACTCCCACGTGAACGACCCGTACAGCCTCAACCCCCTCCACGCCCAGCCACAGCCCCAGCACCCAGGATGGCCGGGACAGAGGCAGAGCCAGGAGACGGGGCTGCTCCACACGCACCGGGGTTTGCCCCACCAGCTCTCGGGGCTCGACCCGCGCAGGGACTACCGGCGGCACGACGACCTGCTGCACGCCCCGCACGGGCTGGGCTCGGGGCTGGCCGACCTGCCCCTCCACTCCATCCCCCACGCCATCGAGGACGTGCCGGTAAGCCAAGGGGTCATCCCGCAGCCCACTCATCCCTCTTACCGCGGGAGCTCAACGTCGGGGGGAGAGGGAGGGAGAGAGGGAGGGAGGGAGCGAGGGGAACCCCCCGCCCCCCCTCCCAAAAAAAAAAAAAAAAAAGGAGGAAGGGAAGAAGAGAACTCACCCCCTCCCCGTCCCCCAGGGAAAAGTGAAGCCCCCACCTAGAACAAAAGGTTCTCGCAGCTCGTCCCTGAGCACGTCTCGCTGCTAACTTGCCCACTAAAATATAAATAAATCAAATTACCGTCATCGTTAACAATATCTTTCCTTCTCAATGACAATAAGCTGTTGCGATTGGAAGAATATATAATATCACCACAGGGCCGTGCATTTGGGGATTTCTTACTGCCTTGGGAAAGACACGAGTCTGAAATGCCTGTGAGGACATTTAACGAGATCTCACAAATGTAAAGGGGGGGTGGGGGGAAATGGGTGAAAGTGGCCTAAGAAGGAAAAATTGGTTTCCCGTGATTACAGGATTGGCATATGGAATAACCACATCCAAAGTTATAAGAGGGTATGGGCAGATCCTCTTCTCTAAAGGAATTAATTGACAAATCAGGGAAGAGCTATACTAAAATGCTGCCGCCTTCTTTTAGTAGCGGTGCAAAGGGATGACCTCATAAATCATTACCTATAGGTTATCGAATTTGAGTCAGACCTGCTACACCCTATATTAAATCAAATGTTGGGAGCCTATTGGAGGATGCATTATTTGGGGGAACCTAATTCTATTATCGATGAGTACAGACTTTAAAAATGATTTCTAATTAAGCATGACATTAGTGCACAGGCTACTTACAAAGCAAGCCAGGGCTATTGTTCAGTTAGGAAAGTGGCCTTATGCAACATGATAGGTCGTGATCAAAGTTCATCTTTCTGGGTTTCTCCCTGAAAATGGAATTAGAACATGGCAATAAATTTATTAAAGCCCACAGAGCTCATGCTGAGGGACTGAAGCTGCTCGACTTGCAGGAGGAAAGAGGAGGAGGGAATTGTGGTATCTGGATGTGATTTTTGCCGAAATGCCATCCCAAATTACAGGATCAAATATTACAACAATATATTCGCTGACAGTTTAATGAGTACAGTTTCGTGTTGCAAGGATAATGTTCAGATGAACTTACCTATTTTTGGGGGTCATTTTGAAATCTTTTGTAAATTATACTCAGAGAAAATAGTGAATTTATTACAGCCCTCATCTGGCTAAATTAGCCACAGAAAATTGCTGGTTGTGTTTAGCAGTTTTGCAATAAACGCATACGTTTTCCAAAGTGGAGGATTTAGTAAGCAATTTGGATCTGTTAAAAGCAGGTCGACTCTTTAAACTTGATATAAAATAACATGGAGGCAATCGTATGAATAAACTAATTTGCTGACTGCAAGCCCCTGATTGCTGTAGGAAAACATGACCTAAAATGTTCTCTTGAATTCTCCCTCTCCCCAGTTGTGCTCCATGGCAGTGGGCTGATTTAGGAAGCCTCCTCTTCAGATCTATGAATTAATAGCATTGCTATACTTCGTGAAAACCAAATGCCATCTGGTTTAAATCCTTGAGCCAGTCTAGCCATTTTTTTTCTCTGTAAGGCTGAATCAGCAGGCTCCATGAAGGAGAGTATAAAATAAGAGGGTGCATCTTTTAGGTGTGTTTTATCTGGTTTAAAAAAAAAATCCGTTACAGAAATCTGAGTTGGGAGGATAATTTTGGAATTTTTCCGTTGCTGCAACAGTTAACCTTTAATAAAAACGACTGCTTAATATTTAAGAAAGTCAAGTAGACGGTGAAAATTATTTAATCGTAAATATCTCTGTGGGATTTTAAACTTAACAGTCCTCCCTGTACGGAATATGTGTAGAAATAACACAAATAAAAGTATTATGCCACACTACATTTACTTTATGGGTTTAGGGTGCATGCATAAAGGGATCATATTTCCCCATATAGTTAAAACACAAGAACTGCAGCAGTAGTCATTTCTGAACATTTCTCAATTTAATTATACTTAAATCCAGAAGCACTTTAGGCAAGTTACAAATGAGAGCATTGAGTATAATAAAACCTGTAATAAAGCAACTTAGTACCATCCACCCGGAATCATTGAGATCAGGCACAATTAACAGGAGCATAAATCCAAGACAGAATGGAAAATGTTAGAATCAGTATTATTGTTGGACAAAGACTAGAGAAGGAAGTAATAGTTTTTTAAATGGTAATGCCTGGGTTTTGTAACGATTGCGAAATCTTCTATCTCAGCAGCACTGGTGTTAATTTGTAAACACAGCCAGACATTATATTGCCTGTCAGTTTTTGGAATTAGAAAACACGATTTCATTTGACTTTCTAATCACGTCGTGACTCCGCCGCGCGAACCCCAGCTGTAGCCGCGGCCGCGGAACCTGCGAGGGGACAATAGTGGGGAGCCCGGGGGTGCGTGGGGCCCGGCCCCGCGCCGCTCCGCGCTCCTTTGTGCTTTCCCTCCCGCGGGCGCGGGAGACGGAGCGGGCGCAGCGGCCCCGGGGAAGGGCTGGGCCGGGCCGGGGCAGCTTCCCGGGGAGGAGGGAAGGGACGGGGAGGAGGGAGCCCTCAGAAGCTTAAGGCCACTCGGGCCCCGGGGGTGTGAGTGATTTATTGTATTTTTTCTTGGGGATCGAGGGAAGAGCTGAGAAGGATGCAGGATTCCTCTCGATAAAGGAAACCTCCCCCAAATCTCCTGCCTTCCTTCTCCCCCCCACCCACCCCTTTCCGTGCAGGATCTGTTGTTTCCCTCCCCACACCGTGCCCAGGAATGGGGGGAGCACAAAACTTCTCCTTCACCCCATCCCACCTCGGCCCTCCCTGCCTTTTGTTGTGGTTGTGCACTGACATCCCTGCCTGTTCCTTTTGTTGCAGCACGTAGAAGACCCCGGTATTAACATCCCAGATCAAACTGTAATTAAGAAAGGTAAGCTGTTTCCTTGCGCATACCAAACATGTCGTCACAGGCTGGGGACTGCTCGCTGGGAGGACTTACCCGGCCTCTCCCCTCTCCCCTCCAGCCCCCCGGCCCCGGGCTCCTTCCTCTGGCATGTACTGTTGGCCGAGAAAGGTTGGAAGCAAAGAAAAACGGGCGATGGGGGTTGAAATCTGCCCTCTCAAATGGCCACGTTTGCCGGGTATTTTAATTATTATTGTCGTTAACGAGGAAAAATGTTAGCAGATGATCTAGAAAATCCGAGCCGGTTTTTTAGTGCATTAGCGAACAATTGGGTTTCATAGTTTGCCCCATGCATCTGGCTGAGCGGAGGGCTTGAATCGTTGTTGGTAAACTGGAGCTGTGAATGTGAAATCGTTGTTCCCCCTCCTTCGGGTTTTCTTATTTAAATCACGCCGGTGATGAGGTGGGACTGGTGGAGAACAAGGGGCGAGTTTCTGGAAACTGATGTCTGTCGGTGGTTAGGGTGATTTGGTTTTCGTTGGCTTTGTGCGCTTGCTTCACTTGGAATTGAATTGAATTGCTTGGAAGCTGGTACCCAAATCGTTCTAAATATTTATTGCAAATTTTCACTCGATTTTCATTTCCCGTCGTTCTTTGGACAATCGAAAGATTGAGAAAGGTGGCACAGGGCATTTTGCAAAGCAGGTTCTTGGTGGCAAGCGATGGGTTTTGTGTTTGGATGCTGTGTAGTGAGAACGCTGTTGGAGTAAAACTGGCGGGGTGGAAGGCGCAGCTAGCTCCTGCCTGCTCTGAGGGCTGCTGTGGCTGCGTGGCCACCTGGAATTTGGGAACCCAGGCCACCACAGGAGAGAGGTGCTGAGTAGAGGCTCTCTCCTCTCTAACCCTAATTGCTGTACAGCCAGCGAACCTGAAGTTTCATACCCCCTCACCCCCGCCCGTAAAGCCTTTGTCACGTCAAATTAGATGTGCAAGGGATAAATCTTAAGAGATGCTCTTTCCAAGTCGACATGATAATTGGCTCTTTTATTAGTAATCTCAAGAGTTCGTTTAACTCCTGTTGTATCTATTAGCCTTCCCAGAGCTATTAATGTCACAAGTGATCTATCCAAAACGGAGAGAGCCCCCCGCTTGGTTGGACTGCGCCCGCCAAGCGGAGCGGGCAAAGGCAGAGGAGAAAGGGAAGGCGGCCGGGACCCGAGGCACCGAACGGCGGCACCTCCCCGCCGGCCGCCGCCGGGCAGGGACCGAGCTGTATTTTGGGGTGCCAGTCCTCCGCCGAGTTACGGGTCTTCCATGTCTAAATTTGTGCGCTGGCGGCCCCCCGGGCTTGCCGCATGTCCTGCGCCGCTGCCCGGGCACTGCCGGCCCGACACGGCGGTACCGGCGTGCGGCAGCCCGGCCTCGGCGCCCGACGGGGGCTGCAGCGGGGTCTTTTCAATTTCCCCGCTGCAGGTCGAGGGATGTCCGGCTCTCCCCCTGCGCCTCCCGACGGGAAAGGGGAGGGGTGCCCCCGCTGCGTCCCCGCTGCCCCGCAGGCGGTGCGGGGCCGGCGCTGGCCGCAGAGCGGCTCGGCTGCTTCCCCGTCCCTCCCCGGCTCCCTGCCCGCTCCTCACCCTCACCTCCCTGCTCCTCCCTCCCTGCAGGCCCCGTGTCCCTCTCCAAGTCTAACAACAACGCCGTCTCCTCCATCCCCATCAACAAGGACGCGCTCTTCGGCGGGGTGGTGAACCCCAACGAGGTCTTCTGCTCGGTGCCGGGCCGCCTCTCGCTGCTCAGCTCCACCTCCAAGTACAAGGTCACGGTGGCGGAAGTGCAGAGACGCCTGTCGCCGCCCGAGTGCCTCAACGCCTCCCTGCTGGGCGGAGTGCTCCGGAGGTGAGGGGCGGGGGGACGCGGGAGGCGGGATGCCGGGCCGTGCCGTGCGGGAGGCAGGCAGGGAGGGAGGGATAGGGATGGAGGCAGGGAAGGCGGAGGACGAGCGCCCACGCGGGGTGGCGGCGCGGGGGGAGTGCGGCGGCCGCCGCTAGGGGGCGGGGCGCGCGCGGCCGGCGGGGCAGCGCGGCCGGGCGGCGGGAGGGGGCCCAGGCACTGTCGCCATGGTAACGCGCGGCCTTGCGCGGCCCCCGGAGCCCCGCCGTGGGGGCCCTGCGTGTCCCTGTCCCCCTCGTGGCCATGAACACCCCTACGGGCGCCCACACACACATACACACCCCCAGGACCGGCTTAGTGGCGGGCACCCTGCCATTGGCTACCTCACCCAGGCAATTAGGCAGTGCCTGGGCAGGGAATACCATCCAGGATTAATTAAGGCAGCTCCCATCTCTGCAGCCCCGCTTAGCCCAGCTCTGCTGCGAAGCCACAGATGGGCCACGTAGAGTTTGGTGTGAGGGCAGTGATGCTCTTGGGCTGCCGGCCCTGCAAATGGGCCCCCTCCCTTCACGCCTGGGGAGAAGCTGCCCCCGTGTCCATGGCACCGTGGGAGCTCAGGGAGACACCTCAGCTCTGCATCAGCTCTTGGGCTGATCTAGACCTTAGTGAGGGCCGCTGCTCTCTAGGTGTGATCCAAAGCACCATCCCTATATGTGGGATTCAGCTTTCAGCAACAGGTGGTCTTGAACCTCCCACAGCCATGTATCCCATCCCTTGTCCCTAAACCTTTTATTCCCTTCCCTGGAAAAGGATGTGTTGGGGGCACGTGTGGGCAGGAGCCAAAGTAGGAGCAGGTGTTCCCCCAAGCCCCATTTCTCAACACTTTTCTGTGTGGAACAGGGCAAAGTCTAAAAATGGAGGGAGATCTCTGAGGGAGAAACTGGACAAAATAGGACTAAACCTGCCAGCCGGGAGGCGTAAAGCTGCTAACGTTACCTTGCTCACATCGCTCGTGGAGGGTAAGTGACTCAAAGAGCTGGGAGGGCTCCTTTGGAAAATGTGCCTGTTGCTTTTGGCAAATGAGAGAAGATTTGCTGTTGGGTTGTTCGGGGTTTCTTTCTCCTTTCCCAGAGTTGGTGCTGCTCATTGGCATTTGCAAGGGCGCTATTTTCTGTGTCTTAAAAAAAGATCAGTTTAATTGTGTGTCTTTGCTTTTTTGTTATAACCTGAAATGGGTTTGTCTGAGTCCTGCAGACTCAGCAAAGCGTTCTATTATTTATTTGCATTTAAGTTTCCGAGCTAGATGTTTTCAGGGCCCCATCTTGCTTGCTCATTCAAATGAGTAATCCCTCTGTGGAGTAAGCAGACCTCATTGGGAGCAGCACGGGAAGGATCCCTGTGAAGGGGGATTGTGGGCTTATGAGCCCCATAAGAGACCCATGAGTATCAAGTTGAAAGTTAGGGGCAGCAGAGCCTCTAATACTTCACTGCTGTTCTTCTGCCACAGGTGGACAACCAAGCAATTTTAAATGTCAGAAGCTGCAGCTACTTTAAGTTTGTTCTCCCTCCCAGCCTGCAGCCACATAACAGTAAATCATTTAACTTTTCTGACATCTGCATTTGAGAAATGCGTGACCATTACTTCCTGAATTAATTTGGGAATCCTTGACCTCAGCCATGAATTAATGGTGTCCTGAAAGCCTCAAAGTTGCACCACTGCCAGCCCCCACTCCCTTTTGGTTCTCATTTTCAGAACACATGTTCCCTTGGCTGTATCATTCTCCTCTGCTTTGGCTGGAAAAGGTGCAACTTGTTTTAATGCCTTGGGATGTCCTGTGCTGTCTGGAGAGGTGGGAAGCTCAAGAGTTTGCAGTCATTTAGTTTTGAAGCAGTGGCTGTGTCACACTGGCTGACACCAAGTATGTCTGAGGCCTGCAGATAGAACCCTCTCCTTTCCCATTACTTACGACTTTGGCTGCATTTTAGACTGGTTCAGTTTGTGAAGTGCTCTTAAACTCAGCCTGAGCTGTCCAGGTTCAGCTTAACTTTGGTTGTGTAGGCGGGAATTTGTTTTGTTGTCGCTTCGCATTCTGCAAGAAATGTTTCACGTTCAAAGGGACGGGGAAGGACGCGCTGTGCGATGATGCCAGGCGTCATTTTTTTAAACATCAGGATTAGTGAACAAACTATATTTATACTGTGTGAAAATTACCGCGTCTTCATGTTTCTGAAAAGGCTTTGCAATTGCATTGACATGCTGTTGTGGTAAAAAAATCACGAGGGGAAAACTTGTAAAAAGTCTAGATTTGGTAGATGCTTAACATTATTTGTGATGTTAATGAATATGGAGAAGGTTTTATGGTAATCCATTGTTCTGTTTGGCTTTCACGTACAATGGCTTTGAAAAGAAAGATTTTTTAAAAAAACAAAACCAGAGGCCTGATCTTCAGATAACTTAGTGATGGTGGCTAATTCTGGGGAGATGATAGTATAAACATTGCTGAGGCTTCGAGTCCCATAGCGATGAGGCAGTTTCTAGAGAACTGTTATTGTTTATGATCCGCTCCATTTTATGGAAACAAGCTCACTGGACTGAGGCTTTGAAGCTCTAATTGGCGCATGCGTTCTTCCGGAGCTAGAGCTAATGGCAGGAAGCCCTGCAGTAAAAACCAACTGGTTCAGGAAATTAAAACCAAAGATTTGAAAATCAACAAAACAGACAGACTCGGTGGAATGACACTAAAATTCTCATGGTTAATCGTTTGGGGGTGAACATATAATTATATGCGATCAAGTTAAATTTTAAACACTTAGCTGTTTAATGCATTTTATTTAGAAGAGCTCTAGGAGTAATTATGATCAATATTAATCATTGATGCATTGCAAAAGAATATAGAAATGTGGCTGAGGCAAACACATTTTCAGAGTAAATAGCTGTGAATAAAATGAACATAAATGGCTCTTTATAGGTATGGAGATGTAAATCGAAGCACACATTCTAGGTGGATGCAGCCTGTCTGTCTAAAAGTATCTCTTAGTCAATGTGAACTTTTAAAAATTCTTATGTGAGTTTTCACTCGTAGCAGTTGTTATGAAAATACACGTTTGCATTGCCTTCAACTGAAGCAATGAAAACTGCAAGATAAGATTTAATTAACATTTCTGGCCCTAACTTTTTCAAAGAGAAAACGTCCAAGCTTTTGAAAAGAAAAGCCCAAGTAGAATGTAATTTTTTTTTTAAATGTATTTTTGCCTCTGTTCAGTGTGTACTGATGAGCTGTGTTTCTTTCCATCCCCACCCGTGCCTCCCTATTCAGGAGAAGCAGTACATCTAGCTAGAGATTTTGGGTACGTTTGTGAGACAGAATTTCCTGCCAAAGCAGTAGCTGAATTTCTCAACCGACAACATTCCGATCCAAACGAGCAAGTCACAAGAAAAAACATGCTTCTAGCTACAAAGTAAGACATTTAACTTTCCGGCATGTTGCTTAGAAATAAGGGAGGGGGACAAACTCGAGTCTGGGGCTTTTATTTGTGAAGATATTTGTTTGCTGCATAACTAGTGGCTGATGGCTTTGTAAGTTGTGAGGGGTGTGTTGGCCCTCCTAGTATAGGAGAGCTTGGTTTGCTCCAAATCTGTTTGCGCAGATTACATTGAATAAGAATTGTGCAAATTGAGAGTGGATGTTTAGTTACAGAAAAAGCAGTAATTCTTCAAAGCAAAACATCTTCTGGGCCTATTCACTTAGCTTATCAATTTAAGTAGAAGGGGAAGTCTTCCCATTGACAGTAAAATAAAACTGGCACATTAAACCGATTTCAGTTCATTAAAATCGGGAATGGTTCTTCCTGCCTAAGCAGCTCTGTTACTTAGCTAATACAGGGATATTAAAAATATATTTTAAATGACAATCTGTATGCAGTTAAAATGCTAGCAGAGTTTATCGTTGGTGGGGCTGCCTAGACTTCCAGGTGGTGTGTGAAAAGAAAATTATTGTTTTGGTATGTTTGCTGGAAATTAAAAGGGGTTGTTTAGTAGCCCTTAATTACCAACGGAGGTGTCACCAAAGGGCACAGTGCCAGAGGACACAAGCAGGAGATGGGAGCTGCTTTATGGCTGGAAGACATTAACGTGGGTTTTAGAATACAAACTGTTTCAACACGCCTCTGAGCTCTCTTGCTGTAAGGTGTGTTATTTCTCCAACCATTTGTGCAGTGAGTGGGTGATATAACCTATCTTCTGCACCATGCCCTCGTATCCTCCCTTTTCACCTCCCTGGAAGGAAATTTCCAGGCGCTGGTTAGCGTCAGCCTTCCCCTCTGTGGAAAGGTCCCTTTGGATTTAGAGATAGAGATTTACATATATAAATGTTTCAGAATACCCTAATTTAAATCCTCACTTGCCAGCTTTGCCCTCACTCATTCTTCTTGACACACCAAGTGTGTGTTTTAGCCTTGTGAAGGAAGAGGCCCGTATCCCTCTCTGGTTCCCCCCAGAAAAGGAATCTTCTAAGATACGGATATATCCCTTAGTTACCTTTGGATATCATAGTCTGTCTATTAAGCCTGCTCAGGAACTTTAAACTGTGTCTGTGCTCCAAACCCCAGCTGGGCAGGGATGTGTGTTTGTGGAGAGTGTTGGGGGCTGAGATACAGAGAGCGGTGGGGCAAGAGAGATGTGTCTCCATGTTGCTGTTGCCTGCTGGTGTGTTGGATGGGGCTGGGGTGTGATGTGTGGTGTGCTGTCGTGTGTGCATGCAAGGTGAAGGGAAGAGGTTTGTGCGTGCCAGGGAAGTGTGAGAGAATTGGAGAAGGATGCATAGAGAGGAGAGGGAGAAAGGAGAATGTGTGTGCTCAGGTGCAGGAGCCCCCTTGATCCAGGGGCTTGTGCAGTCTAGCAGGGAGAATGCACAGGCTTTGCTGCCACCAGTGATGGTTCATTTCTCTCCCTCTCTCTTCCCTTCCCTCCCTTCCTCCCTCCCTCCCTCTGTCTCTCTGCTCCATTTGTGCTACAGACAGATCTGTAAAGAGTTCACCGACCTGCTGGCTCAGGACCGATCTCCCCTGGGGAACTCGCGGCCCAACCCCATTTTGGAGCCGGGCATCCAGAGCTGCCTGACCCACTTCAACCTCATCTCGCACGGCTTTGGGAGCCCGGCGGTGTGTGCTGCCGTCACCGCCCTGCAGAACTATCTCACCGAGGCACTCAAGGCCATGGACAAAATGTACCTCAGCAACAACCCCAACAGCCACACAGACAACAGCACCAAAAGCGGCGACAAAGAGGAGAAGCACCGAAAGTGAGGATCCCCCCCACACACGCTCCTCTCCCTTCCCCCTCATAGCCCATCGATCCATTCATGTCCCTCCTCCCTCTCCCGGGCACCCAGCACCCCAGGCTACAGCAACAGAATGAGCGTCCTTCTGCCAGTCCTGTTCTCTGACTCTGCAGGACTGCTCTGCCCTCTCTCCACACCCCTTCCCAGCATCCACATTTCCATTTGCTCCTGCTTAAATTCCCTTCTCTTCCCACTGCCACCATCGTTTAACCCCAGTTTGGAGCCTAAGAGAACAGAACAGGGGGACGGAGCCAGCAAAGAAAAAAAGTTCTGTCTTGAGTTTGTGAACTTTTTTTTAAATAAAACAAAAGGAGAAAAAAAACCAACAAAAAATAAAACAAAAAAGAAAAGGACTTTTTTTTCTAAAAATATATTAAAAAATTAAAAAAAAACCAAACAAAAAGAAATAAATAATACTTAAAAATTCTATGAGCTTCACCGGACTGAATCACCACCTTCCCTTACATAAACTTCAGTTAAGATTGTAGCCATACTAAAAATGAAAAAAAAAAGTGAAAAAGTACAACAGCAGCAGCAGACAGACAAAAGGCAAAGAGGACTGATGACATTTTATCAGTATTGTGAATAAACTTGAACACAAAACACAAGCGGTTCCATGTCATATCTTCAGTTGTAGAACTTTTTCCTGTCCAAGGTAAAGCGACCAACTTGAACTTTCTATTGCAACACGATTCACGGTTATTATATAAGGGAATCAGTGTTCATGTATGTATATATTTATTTATGTGTAATTTAATGGGAATTGTAAATATGGTGAGTCTGTTTTAAGCCTTTTTTTATTTATCTGGTGATCTCGTTTACCTCTTGTTTAGTGGGTTTTAAATCTTCCCCTCTTAGTTCATCATGTGGTTCATGGTACTTATTTAGATATCAGAGGTTTTTTGGGGGTTTTTCTCTGGGATTCATCATTTTTAGCCCTATTGTAGCATGTTAAAAGCGACAATGAAGCAGCTGAACAAATAAAAAACCATTAATTTTTATATATAATTAGTATGACATTTAGTTTCTCATTGAAGATAAAATAAAGTGATGTTGGACCCTGGCAAGGTTTTTAAACATGTTAGTGGTTTTACAACCCTTATGTGTTGTGGAAAATGAAAAAAGTTATTTTCATCCACTGTCCTTCTCCCGAAAGCAACAACAGAGCAATAAATTAATATTGTCTTTTAAAACAAGATTTAGCTTTACTTTCCTTTTTTTCCCTCTTTTTTTCTCCCTTTCTTTTGTTTTTATTTTTCTCTTTTTTTCTTTTTTCTTTTTTTTTTTTCCCAAAGAACTTCAAACATTCGGGACCACCTGGTATCCTGTATTTCCACTGGCCATATTGGAAGCAGTTATAGTTGTGTTGTATTGAGTTGTGCCGGCAGTAGTTTCCATGCCTATCAATGTATCATAGTCCTTTGTTGCCCAGATAAATAAATATTTGATACGCTTTATGTCGATTTTTTTATTCAGTAGCTGTCTTTACCCAGGCGTATTTTTGTTCTTGGCAGTATTTTTTATTCAGTATGGTTACAGTAATTGAGTTTAACTCTCCCTTGACAATTGCTCCTTGCAATAAGCAGCTGAACCCATTGTTTCCCTCAAGTATAATAAAAACTTACTTTCAACTTGGAGTTCAGAGCAGGGTATCATTTAGATATTCCACTGAGTCTGTATTCAGACAAATGACACAATAAAGCACAATGTATTCTTTTGGATAAAAAATTGTCTGTACTACTAACAAAAATGACACACTATCTTTTCTTTAACCAAAACATAATTTTATTTAAAAAATAAAAGTTTTATTTTATTTATGTTGACCTCTAGGTTTTTATTTATGTTTATATATAGCATACAGAATTATAAGCCTATAAAATTTTGTACATGTAGTTGTCCTAACGGAGAGCAGAGATTAAAAAACACATCTCAAGGAGGACATTTAAAAAAGAATCATTACTAAGGAAATACTGAAAATTATTGCTATGAAAAAAAAAATTATACTGATAAATCAGAGCTGGGTGCTCCCTCCCCCTCAAGAAAAAAGAAAAGCTCCATAGTTGATGCCAACAAAATCATCTCACGGTTGTGAACTTTAGTGAAATCTTGCAGGAGACAGATTATTTCTGATTGATGGTTCGTGTTTTAGTGGAATGCACAGACTGACATTTTGAGATGGCTGTGTCAGTTTGTAAGGGACTGAAATTTTTATCTTGAGTTTCTTCTTGTGGAAACCAGTTGTGAAACAGGGAAGTTCGCTTTAAAAAATGGAGTGCATGTCTTGAAGATGGTCTATAAAAACATGTGAGAATTCAGATTTTGAATCTATTTTCTTTGGCCCGGGGGGTAGGTGAAGTCAGGATCAGGCTGGATTATGTTATATCATAGGAAGGGAGACTTAATGGAGTTTAGAATGTAAAGGCATTTTAAAGAGAGGGTCTCCTTTAAGTGTTGACGGTATTCTAGTAGAGGAGGCTGATTTTTCTCTTTCCTTCCCTCCCTGACTCTCTCTCTCTCTCCCTCTCTCTCTCTCCCTTTTTTCCCCTTTTTGCTCAGGCAGAAATTGAGGAGGTTAGAAGGGAGGTGTTTACAATAAAGCTGCACAGAGAATTAACATTTGCTCATATATTTTGACGTTTGGTAGAGCTGGTGAAGCAAAGCATTAGATAAAGCCCAAGATGTTTCATTTTGCTTTGGTAATCTACTTATGGAAGGCAGTGTAAAATCAATCTTGCCAAGCAGAAAGAGAGTTGGTGGAGTCTAAATTCTATTTTCGTGAGCCAGCTAGTTTATAAAAATGGTGAATACTTTTTTCTATAAATTGAAAGTGGATCTTTTGAATGCAAAGCTGCAATTGTTTTAAAAACAGTTATTTATTATTTCCAAGAGAGACTGGTTAACCGTAAAGTAGATGTAACAAAATAATGAGGTGAATGAACCCTAACTGTACATATTCTTGACATAAATGAAATGCACAGTACTGTAGCAGGTGAAGTGAAGCATTGTCTATCAGGGCTGTTTTTCTTGGCTGCATCTCAGATTGTGTGTGGGATCCTAACCTCAGGCACAATAGCATTCATAAACAGCAATACATTGCTGCTCTTTCTACAGCAACACATAAATACTCATTTTTAAACGAAAACAATCTTATTAAATACCATTCATTCATATCTGGATTTACAGATGCTTGTTACTTTTTGAAACCTGTACCCAATATAATCGTTTTATACTGGTCAATGTATAAAGCAGTCTTATGCTAGAACATTATAAGGTCATAATAAATAATGTTTTAAACATATAATTAGCTACTTCATGGTAGGAGAGCGCATATTAGGTATTCTGCTGCTGGATTAGCAAGCCACCAAAAACCAGAAATGAAATGACCTTGCATAGATTTCTTTATTACTATTATTTCTAAGGAAGGATTTTACAGGCGATAATGGAAATCAGACTAGGTTCGGTTCAGCCTCTTCTGCTGTGACCAGTGTGCAGTTACTAAAACGTGCTAATTACTTCAGCATTCTTTGGGTGCATTTTTAACGTTGTGATCGAGGTACAGCAGTGAAATTCTAGGTCATGCTTTTATGCACTAAACAGAAATCTGTTGTTATTGTCCCCCCCCCAGATCGGTTGGAGCGGGGGTGAATAGTGGGTGAATGTTAGAGCGTTGCTGCCATGCTGAGCTAATTCCTACATGTGAACCAAAATACAGCTTGGTGCTCTTTCACCGTGAACAAGGACAGCCCTCCTCTTTGTACCGTATTTTACCCCACCCTCCAAAAATCAAATATTAATATAATTTGAGATTTAACTGGTGGAACAGCCATCAGGACAGCAATGCCCCGCAGCTGAAATAATATTTAAAATAGAAGAGATTTGACATTTGAGAAGTCAGTGGCTTGAAATACCCAGTTGTACTTAGCTAATTCAGTCCTTAACCTCTGGTTTCAAATAAATCAATTACAGTCGATTCCACTTCAGTTCAGAAGTGCACAAGGTTTTTAGTTAATTGAATACATTTTATTCACTGGCTAGGAGTATTCATTTATCCAAACCCTTACATTTAAAGGCAATTTCTTTATTGTCCATGATAAATTCGACTGCATAATCAGATCAGCTCCTTGTTTACTCGTCTTCTACCTCCCATTTAAATTCCACAATGTGCGCTTCCCTTTCCCTCCTGAATATCTCAGCCCAGACCTGATTCCCGGAGCCTCAGCCCTCATGTTAGGAAAGTGCAGCTAAAATAACTTGTGCCCTTCTGACAGGGATCAGCGTGAAGTCCATCCCAGCTAGTGAGGGCACAGTGATTTAAACTGGCTCCATAATCAAATGTGAAAGGTTGGGAGTATTAAAAAAAAAGGTACCTTCGATTTTGTCCCAGGCACCTTTTCTGCATGAAAGAGCCATGTCTCTGCTCCCTGCCCTGCAAGCAGCTGGAGCTGTTAGCTCCTAGAGAGGATTTGGAGCCAGCTTGGTGTCAGCAGGATAAGATTTTTGTCAAGCACCAGGCAATGAAGTTGTGCCCCTGATCCACTTTGAACAGATACTGGTATACACTTTGTGTATGTGTTGTTTGCAGAATCCTGCTGGCGTTGGTTTACTGTTTTGGAAAGGAAAGAGGTTAATTAGCATCATTATCAATCACTAATGCTTGTCTAACATGGCCAAAGAATAATCAAGTTAGGGAACTGCATGAAGCTAACATCTGCTTCATTCCAGTTAAAGATTTTTCCTTATATCGTTCAATTATTGGAAGTCCACACCGGTTTCAGGCTTTGTCAGGGCCATAAAGCAGGGTCAGATCGTTAGAAATCTAGAATGGAGGGGAAAGTGCAATATAAATAACAAATGGCTTCATTATTTGAGTTACAGGTGCAAGAATGGCTGTGAAAATGAGTAGGGTTTACTAGAATGTGTTCTTTCTTTTTATCTCCAGTACAGAGGAAAAAATAAATCAGCCGAGCCCAGTTCTTAAATCATTTATTCTGCATAGGCTGCAGCCTCTCCATTTGCAGTATTTAGTTTAGTAACTCCAAACTCCCAAA